TATATATATATATATATATATATATATATATATATATATATGTGTGCAGTTCAGTTTATATTACAATGAATCATTCATACAAAAAGTAGATTAGTAAAGTTAATATAAAATGGCGAAATCACATCGCAAACATTTTAAAATTTTATTAACCTACAAATCACTCGATGAATGTTATGATCCTTGTTTTTAATAATTATGAACTGTACATGGTCTTTTTTTTTAATACGCGAGTACTTTCAACTGTACATTCAGTCATCTTCAGGCATGGAAATTATTTTGTTTTTTGTTTTTATTAAAATACAGCTAGCATCCGAGACGAAAAATTAAATGCGAATCGAAATTTTTTTTTTTTTTTTTTAATGTGTTATTGTTAACGGATACAAACATTTGGAGCGTGCAGTCGCAACGCTAAGGTTGAATTTTTTTAAATTTAAGAGAGTGCGTTTTTTTATTAATATGGCAATTTGACATTTTTTTGTTGTTGTAGGTTTTTATTAGTCATTACTTTATTTATTGAACAATTTAGTTCATGCCACATTGACTGATAAACTCCTACAACAAAAAATTCTCAAATTGCCATATTAAATTAATTATTAATTATTAATTATTAATTATTAATTAATTGTATTAAATGTTTGTGTAAATACACAGTACCTGATACAGGATTTGAACCCAGAAAATTCGCAAAATTTAATCAGAATTTAGAGCAATCAGCCTAAACTTCCTGCTTATTAGAATTTCAACTGCTGCTGCTGATGTCTCTCATGTTTTGATTGCTGCTGCTGCTGCTGCAGTTTGAAGATTTGCTGTCTTTTTCTTTCTTTCTAAAGTTCATTCAGTTCAGAATTCCTTTTCGGCTACCCAGATCAATATACACCTGATGAAGGCTGGAATTCTTATTACATATTTAAACCTGCTTCGTTTGAGTCAAAAGGTTAATCTATATGATAAATGCGAATGTCAATGTGTCACATTTTTTAAACTTTACTCCTAGACGTGTTTCGTCCCCTGAGGGACTTTATCAAGTGAAATGCAAGGGTTTTACTTAATAACAAGTATTTATATACACGAGCAAAAATGTTTTTCAAAAATGATAAATTTAGGAAACGCTCATAAATATTCATCAGGTTAGCCGAAAAGTCTAGGCAAACTATGGAGGACGCCAACTGACACAATTCAATGTCTAATAAACGAAAATGATTAGATGATGTTTTTGGAATTTTTTATGCAAATTAATATTTAAACTTATGTGTTATATATTTTAAATAACATGAAGGTATGGATTTAGCTGTTTTCTTTTACTTTTTTAAATATTTTAGTAGTCATGCATGTTGGTGTTGTAGCATACCTACGGACGATAATGGGTATGTCTTCATTCACATAATAGTAAATACTGTATGTTGGTCTGCAGTTGGAGATTTGTCTCCAGCTGTGCTGGTCAGGCTCTCTGCCTCCGGACCGAGAGGATCCCCAGACGAGGCTATGTCGAAGGGAAGAGTCTCGTCTCGGGAAACAGCTACCAGCCCCCATTTTATACGGAGTCTACGGGGAATTTTTGGCCGAGCCTACGGGCACGGTACCCCACATCTGACCGCGTAGGGCGGTTGGTAGATATCCTGCAGCTGAAGATTCGTCTCCAGCTGCGCTGGTCAAACTCTCTGCATCCGGGCAGAGAGGATCCCCAGACGAGGCCATGTCTCAAGAAACAGCTAACCCGATCCCGTTTTATACGAGAAACCCCCATTAAATTCGGTTTTGTGCCGCATATGATATCCTGCAGTTGGAGATTCACTGTGGAATTCACATGATTCGCTTCTAGCAGTTGACTACTATTTTTACGCGCCGCTGGTGGATCTTATATGTGTTGTTCTTGTCCTAAGTATTATCGTTCCTTACCAACCTTCGTGTGATTATTCTATTCGGTAACCTTTCTTATGTTTCAACAGTTGGCTTGGGAATGTAGGAATTATTTCAAGAATGGATATATTGGATACAATCCGATAGCGACATTGTCGAGAACTTTCCTGTCTAAGTAAATTACTGTCTCTTTTAATAAGTCTGGCATTCTTTTGATCAATGTATTTCTATGTATAACTAATGCATTTGATAAATTCTTGTGTATAAGTTTCCTTTTGTGTTCATAGATACGTTTTTAATTTTTTGTTTTTTATTTCTGCAAGTTTCCCCAGTGTAAATAGCAGTTCTGGTATTTTATTTTATACAGGGTGTCCATAAAGTTCGTGTACACGTTAAAAAAATTATAACTTTATTTGTATTTGCGACAGAAATAATCTTTAAAAAATGTTATAAAGTTTAATGTACCTAGTTTTAAGTATAGTTGAAATAACTAATGTGATTTCAGGCATTACTGAAAATCAGTTGGCAAATGTTTTCCGTGAACTGCAAAATCGCATTACGACCCTTTGTATTGTTAATAATGGAGGACATGTGGAAACTTAAATAAAATTTTAATAAAACCTTAAAAAATATAGATTTACTTCTTTCTAATCCTTTTTTACAAATTATTTCTATCGCAAATACAAATAAAGTTATAATTTTTTTAAAGTGCACACGAACTTTATGGACACCCTACATATACCTGCTTCAAAATAATTATTGCTATGGGTACTTTTTGTTCTGATCATATCCATAATAGTACTGAACGTGGTTGTAATTTTAATGTTGTTTAAATTAGATAAATCGTTTTTGATAGTGAAAGTATAGTAGATATTATCTGTTTTATCTACTTTGCTGTCAATAATATTATCTTTTTGCGGTTGTATATTATGTATGTCTTTCTCTTAGCATTTTGGATGAAATAATAAGTATATTGGATGCGTTTGAAAATGTTTTCTATATGTATTTCTTATTTAGGTAAGTATTGGGGGCTGCAGATTTTTAGTGCTCTTAATGAGAATCCCATAATTATCACAGATTTAATCTCGTTACAGTGGTGGGAATAAAAATTGAAAAAGTCATTCTTGCTGATAGATTTGCTATAAACCTCAGGCTGAAGTTAGTTATTATTTCTATGCAACATGGTATCAAGTTAGTCTCAAGTGTTGTTAGGTTCAGATTTAAAGTCTTTGTTGGTTCGACGTTATCAAGTTTATCAACAAGATCGTGTCAAAGTATTTCTTGTGGATATATTAATAGCGAATCATCTGTGTATCTGAAATAGGAAGTATTTTGTGGTAAACTATTTTTGAAAGGACCATTTTCCAGAAATTCCAAAAATAGACAAGCCAAAACGTCACTAAGAGGGGACCCCATCGGAAAACAAAATTTTTGTCTATAAAAATTGTTATCGAAAGTGAAAAAAAAAATTGATTAGTGATTAAATGGCACATTTTATGATTTATGAGTAGAAATAAGTTATTTTATTTTTGTTTTGGTTAAACGTGTTTTTAGTAAATTTAGACATTTCATCAGACCAATATTCAAAGCATAGACGAACCATAGACTTATTAATAAGTCTTATAGACTCAAGCGAGAAAAAATTGTCTCGCCTGACACAGTGATCCAACTTTCCTAGCAATAGATTCAATTTAATGTTTCCACTTCAAGTTAGCGGTCAACATTAAACGGAGAAGACACTCCCCTGGAGGTTAGCATCAGCCATACTGACGGAAGCCAAAAAATGTTTTCGCAGACGATTAATAGAGAACAGTTTCAGTTTTGGGGCGTTAAAATTAACAAGTTATATATTATATTGAATCGGAAGAAAGAGAAATAAATGATGACTTTTTTAAGCAATTCACCCCAAGAAAGGCTGGATGCCACTAGCGCGCAAGGGGTTACAGAGAGTTGGAGCGAGAGCAAAGGGGAGCGATAGAGGAATGGATGAAGAGGAGAATAGGGGATAGATCAGGGCATCTGGATATGTCGATTGACATTACATTTGAATAGTTGGAGATAATAGCTATCAGGGAAACAAGTAATAGGAAGGGAATTCCACAGCCGGGAGGTGCGAGACATGAAGCTGTTTGAGTAGAAGAGATGGTTACATTTAACCGTTTCGACAGTGAAAGGGTGAGAGCGAGATGCCAGCCTAGTAGCACGCTTAAATTCATGCAGTCTGGGAACTAGCGAAAGTGGCTCGTCGGAGCAGTTTGTTACGGTTTTTTGTGTATATATGTAACCAGTGAACGAGTCAAAATGAGTTAATTCCTTTTATAGTCGACCAATAGAAGGTTGACCAATCAGAAGCCGCACAACACTGTATCCGTCGTGTATAAAGGCTGCCATCTTTGTTTCCCTACCGGAATGACCAGAGGCAACTTGTCCGGCGAACAGGACAGACGGAAGAACTACGCTCTGCTACCTTGCTGCGATATCCACTGCGAACCTGCACTACGCTTTCCTACTGTCTCCGAAATATTCACTGCCAACCTCTGGATTCTATACTCGAAGACGACAGTCATGAAAATGTCTAACACAGTTATCATGAAAATATTTGTAGAAAAGACAGAGGGAGGCGACGGCACGTCTGTGAGAGAGCAACTGTACGAGAGATGCCAGATCAGGACCAATATCATTGCATATCCGTCTCTGGATTTAGTCGAGGACCTTAAGACGAACAGCAGGGGCTCCAGACCGTATATGGCAGCAGTATTCCATGCCAGGGCGAATGGTTGATTTATAGATTTGAAGGATCCACTCGGGTGAGAAAAACCTTTCTGGCGCGACACAGGGAACCAGTTTTCCTTGCTACTTGCTTTTAATATTTTGTGTTAACTTTTACTGGTCACCCGTGGAAGTTCCACTGCGATCGGTTAATCAGTTTTATAAATTCATCTTTTTAATTAGTATCCGTCCAAGTTTGTCTCGCTCGTCTTTCTTCAAGGATACGTGTATTTCGACACGGATCTCAGTCGCCAAGCAGACATCTGATTTTACGTATATAGATGCGTGGTTTCTTTTGTTGGATTCGATGCAGACGCAAGCGCCATTGAACGCTGTTGTCTTAATGTTTCATTGGTCTTTTTGTGTTTGGGCGAATGTGCGTCTTTGTTGATTGGTTTCGTTATCTATCATTTATTCTTATTTATTCTTTGGAATTATCATTCGTCATTTTAGGATTCCAAGTCCTCCATTTAAATTTTCTTTCTTTCTTCCTTCCTTTCTTTCTTAATAGATTCGGCACGTTCTTTTTCTCTTTTTACCCAATCCAATAGGATTTTGGTTGGCGCGCAAAATTTGATATTCAATTAATTCGGCATTTTTCTTTCTTTCTTTCGTCCTTATTTCTTTCTTTCTTTCTTTCTTTCTTTCTTTCTTTCTTCACCTTCTTTGTTTCCCTTGTTTGTTTGTTTGTTTCTTTCTTTCTTTCTTTCTTTCTTCACCTTCCTTCTTTCTTTTTTCTTTTTTTCTTCGCCTTCTTTCTTTCTTTCTTTCTTTCTTTACCTTCTTTCTTTCTTTCTTTCTTTCTTTCTTCACCCTCCTTCCCTCTTTTTTCTTTCTTTCTTTCTCCGCCTTCTTTCTTTCTTTCTTTCTTTCTTTCTTTCTTTCTTTCTTTCTTTCTTTACCTTCTTTGTTTCCCTTGTTTGTTTGTTTCTTTCTTTCTTTCTTTCTTTCTTTCTTCACCTTCCTTCTTTCTTTTTTTCTTTTTTTCTTCGCCTTCTTTCTTTCTTTCTTTCTTTCTTTCTTTCTTTCTTTCTTTCTTTCTTTCTTTCTTTCTTCACCTTCCTTCTTTCTTTTTTTTTTTTTTTCTTCGCCTTCTTTCTTTCTTTCTTTCTTTTATCTTTCTTTCTTTCTTTTCTTTCTTTCTTTCTTCACCTTCTTTCCCTTGTTTTTTGTTTGTTTTTTCTTTCTTTTTTTCTTTCTTTCTTTCCTTCCTTCTTTCTTTTTCTTTTTTTTTTCTTCTTTCTTTCTTTCTTTACCTTTTTTCTTTCTTTCTTTCTTCACCCTCCTTCCCTCTATTTTCTTTCTTTCTTTCTCCGCCTTCTTTCTTTCTTTCTTTCTTTCTTTCTTCACCCTCCTTCCCTCTTTCTTTCTTTCTTTCTTTTTTTCTTAATCTTCTTTCTTTCTGTCTTTCTTTCTTTCTTTCTTTCTTTCTTAATCTTCTTTCTTTATTTCTTCACATTCTTCTTTCTCTCTCTCTTTCTTTCGTCATATTCTTTATTTTTCTCTCTTTCTACACCAATTTTCTTTCGTTCAGTCCTTTCTTTCTTCAACTCCTTTCTTTCTCTCTTTCTTTCTTCATATTCTTTTTTCTTTCTTCACATTCTTTCTTTGTTCAAATTCTTTCTTTCTTCACCTTCATTCTTTCTTTCTTTCTTTCCTTCTTTCTTTCTTCCTTTCTTTCCTTCTTTCTTTCTTTCTTTCTTTCTTTCGTTCTTTCTTTCTTTCCTCACATTCTTTTTTTCCTTTTTTCTTTATTTCTTCACCTTCTCTCTTTCTCGCGCATGAATTGGTTTAGCGCGCTGAATTTGATATTCGATTAATTAAATTCTGTAAGTGCACGTCGCCAAATTTGTTTCTATTTTTTAAATAAACTTCACACACACACACACACACACACACACACACACACACACACACACACATATATATATATATATGCAGGTTGAGGCAGAAATACTTCTTATATATGCCTTCTATAAATATATCCCGCATTATGGGAAAACCTAGATCAAGACACCATTACAACCAATGTCTTACCATTATGTGGAAGGTATATGTGGGAGGTGTTTCTGCCGTACTATATATATATATATATATATATATATATATAAAGAACTTTTAATCTTTGTCGTGATTAAGAGTTTAGGTTGGTGGGTCTATTATTAGTACGGCGGAATAAATGTCTATTCAGCCTTGTAATGTTATCGACCTGCCGAGTTAAAGTTCCGCCACAGTCTGTTGCATTCACTTTTCCACGATCACGGAAACGGCATGAATGCATTCCTTCTCCTCCCCATGTATAGGTTAAATAACAGGCTTGAGTAGGCTCACTAGTTTTTAGATGACAGTCAAGAATTAAGACCGATGAGATGGTATTGATGGTATTTTAAATTAAAGTTCGCGTATTGCGTGCGCAATAATCAAGACAAGTGAAACCTCTGAGCATGACTTTTCGAGGCAAACGTATGTAAACAAAGCCATTAATGGCTGCCGGGCTGTAACCGCGACGAAAATAAGGCCGAACTTATATTGTCGATAACTCCTAAAAAGTACATTCCCGCAAACTTTTATTGTTATTTCCCAAGAAGCCATAGCAATTTACAGATTATAAAAGAAAAGAAGTTTTACTGGGCCATGAACGTTTACGTCTTGAAAAAGATACAATATTTTTTTAAAAATCCTCATCTTGGATATTTGGGTGCAAAACAATACATTATTTTTTCATTTCACTCCAAGCAAGGCAATAATGCCACTAAGACGCAATTAACAGTGAAAGAAGCAGATAGAACAATAAAAGAGGTTTCGAGGAATCTCAACATGACAATTGATATTGCATTTGAATTTCTTAAGTTATATCAAAAGGACAAGTTTGATGTCAATATTTGAGCTCATTTTTAAAAAAATTAGAGCCTATCGGTGGAGTAATGGATAGCAGCTCGGATTGAGGAAATGGAGAGCCGAGTTCGAATTCCATTCGAATCCATTACATTCACTTACCTGCTAATACCCTTAGGAAAGGTATGATTTCTTCTTCTCCCCCAGCTATGGGTAAATAGCAGGACCGACCGGGTTCTATAGCCTTGGATGGAAGTTGGTCTACCGCAGAAAGAACTGGCAACCTACTACAAAAAATTGCCTCGTCAGTCATATATCGAAAGATATATGATCGCCTAAGTGTGTATCACGCATGGCACATAATTGACTGATATTCACTTACATGCTAATATCCATGGGAAAGGTATAAATCCTCTTCTCCCCCAGCTATGGGTAAATAGCGGGACAGACCGGGTTCTATAACATTGGATGGCAACTGGTCTACTGCAAAAAAATGGCAACCTACTAGAAAAAAACTGCCTCGTCAGTCATTTATTGAAAGATACATGATCGCCAAAGCGTGTATCACGCATGGCAAATAACTGACGGAGAGCCTATAGACTTTAAGAACGAGAAAGGACCGTTGCAAACTATTAATTGGAGGCATGAAAATCAAGCAAGTACAGATTTTTGAAATATCTAGTAAGTGTTTTAACTGAGAAAGTGAAATGTGACATCGAAATCCGAAGTAGCATAGGGATATCGAAAGATGCCTTCCAAAAGCTAAGCAAAGTATTAAGAAACAGGAATATTTCGTTCGAAACTGTTATGTAATATCGGCCATCCTATATGGCAATCAATGCTGGACGATCTCCTCAAAGTTGAAGAAGAGATGTGTTGGTAACCGAAATGTGGTTCTACAGAAGGATGCTGAGAATACAATGGACCGAACATGTGAGTAACGGTGTTTTGAGAAAAAACAAAAAGGACACTTCTACGTAAAATCAGAAAGAGATAATTGAAATTTATTGGGTACATAATGAGGAAAGAGGACTTAGAAAATTTGATACTCACAGGGCATGCAGAAGGCAAGAGAGTACTAGAGGTAAAATTGCAACCCCGGAAATCAATTGTAATGAAAATTTCCATTTTAGTGTAAATTTGCATCCTTATTTCGAAAATAACAATAAAAATACCAGCAATAAAAATCTTGTCGGCGTTAAATAACCCATTGAGGTTGATAAGCCGTAAAACAAAACAAACCAAACCCATCCTCCTGGCTGGCGTACTGTTTAGTTGCTGCACATTAAAGCCATTGTTTCTATTTTTGATGTGCAGGGATGTATATTGTCGCGTCATCAACAATGGCGGGTCCAGCTGGTTAAAAGTATACAATAATGGAAGATTCCTCAAACCCACCACTACGCAAGATCGTTCTCTGTGCCTCTGCTAGACAATCTTTCTCACCAAAATCTATCGTATACATTCATCTGTTTACCATTCTTTCTTTCTTTGGATATTGCTGCCACGTTCGGTTTGGTGGTCCTAATATATATTTAGCGATTCTTGATAAAATCCAAAGAAAATCTGCAACGTTATTGGTCCTCACCTTGCATCACGGCTTCAATCTCTTTTCCCACTGCCGTAACGTAGTTTCCCTCTGCATTTTTATTGATACTTTCATGAAAATTATTCTGCCGAAGTCTTGGGGTGGGGGGCTTGTACCACATTTCTGTATTAAAACAAAACAAACATTACCCTCCTCTAGGGTACCTAGACTTTATGAATTTAAGCGCAGATTGGCGGTAAGGTCTCACCATTTTACAGTTGAAATGGCTAGATATAACCGTAAGTTCTAGGCTAATAGTTTCTTCTCTCGCACTTCTCGCCTGTGGAAAACTCTTTCGGCTTCTTGCTTCGCAGTCGACTTTGATCTTCAAAAATTTAAGTGCAACATCAATCGTTGTCTTCTTGATTCTTGTTCTTTTCTTGTTCTCTCTCCTTAACAGCGTTTTTCCTCATAGTCTCACCCACCTTTGCGTCTTAGTGGATTTAATGCCTTGCTTAGGTTTAAATGATTAAAAAAAATAAGATCACTGATAACACATCCGATTATCTTTGCAATGTATAATGAGACTGGGTCAAAAGCTGAGTAAAATGTGTATACCATATTTGTTTTCGTATATGACGTGTTATTTTTAAATGTATAGAAGACCATGTGGGTTTCAGTTTTGTTGAATTAGACACACGTGCGTTTATTTCCTGCTAGAAAGGTCCAACTACAAGAAAAATAGCGGACTCATATTGTCCAACCGATGAAAAGAAAACAAACAAGACAGATCAATATATGTCAACAAATATGTATTAAAAAACGAATTTACAAGGCATATAGACATTAACATTTGTGGGTGTGTGGGCGTGTGAACATTTGTGCTTGTTCTTTGGTGAATGTTTGTACGTACGTGTATGTACGTGTACATGTATGTGTATGTGTGTATAATGTTCATGGCGTCTCCCATAAATGGGAAACGCCGTCGTTTGCGAGAGTTCACATTGTAGAGGGGTTCGCTGAAATGAAGAAATGAAAGGGTGATTTACCTCACCTCCGCGCGAGGTGATATGCGGCACGAGGCCTGAAGGAAAGAGAACGAGGCAAGAAGTCGCCCAGTATTTATAGTGTAGGGAGAGCGACCCCTAGGGAAAAATTAGGGAATCAAGGAGGAGCTAACTCCAACAAATGTACCAAAAACTGCTCTTAATTAATGATGGGATACGACCGCTGTTTTGTAAATGATGATTCAAGAAACATTTATTTTAAGTTTTGTAGTTTTTTTTTTATTGCTTCTTGTGTATGGTTGTCTGTACTGTTTACTGAAATACAAGTTTCTGTTAGAATTATTTTTTTTTGTTCTCTGTTGTTTGTCGTCTACTACTGTTTTATATTCAGTGAAATATTTCGCTTCACCTGCATCTACTGTAATTATCTATAAGAATTCATTCACATTTATTGTACACTAGCAGTAGAGCCCGGCGTTGCCCGGGGATGTAACAGTAAGAGATAGATATAGTATCGACCATCATAAAGACTGAAAAATAAAATTGACAAAGATTATTGTTTAAGGTTGACGGACACGCATGTCTTAGTTTCTTTTTTGTTTTTTTGTTTTTTTTTAACGAATTGGTCAAACCCAAACTCAAACAAAAATATTGTTTTCAATCGTTATGACTCTACCGACTGAATAGAATTTTTCAATTTTATTATAAACAATTGTCTTGTAAATGGAATTTTTAAAGCATTCTGAATGTAAAAATAAAGAAAAAAGTGTACAAGACAATAAGAAACACTAACTGCCAAAAAAGTTTTGTTGAAATCGGTTAAAAAATGTAGGAAATCCGATCCCATATATAAACGAACACACACACACACACACACACACACACACACACACACACACACACACACACACACACACACACAACCTGTGTTTTATAATAAGTGTAACTCGATATGAGTTTTCCCCTCTTAATCGTGTTTTCAAATTGATTTCATGCAAAAACAATTGTGTTTTTCCAATTTTTGGTGCTGTCAGAACCACTGCCAGGTAATTTTACGGTTGAAAAAAAATGTAGGAAATACGATCCAATATATAAACGAACAGGCACACACACACACACAATCTGCGTTTTATAATAAGTAAGATTACCGATTGCTTTATACGAGTTTGTCTTGCTTATATATACCAGTGCTCTTTGATAAAAATGTATCAGTATTTCTTTTCTTCTTTTCGAAGTTTAATCTAGTTTCCTTCGAAGTATAAAGCTACAGTATATGATTTCATACTTTATTCCCGTCTACTGATACAATATTGTATTTGCCGGCACAAAATCATAGATTTTTCCTTTATAAATTTTCATACGATGAAAGACAATACAGTGACCCTTAGTTAACGAATTCAATTCGTTCAAGGCCGTTCGTAACACGAAATGTTCGTAAACCGAAACTATT